TTGAAAATGAAATCTTCTTGCATTTAACTAACTTTTTTTAATATCATCTCACATTCAATATTACTAACCACATGCAAGAGAGGAGGCTTGGTGAGGAGTAAGAATGGTTTAAATATGACAGCTGAAATGCATGTGTGCAATTTATGTAAAGCAATTTTTTATGTCATGCAGATTTCATTTTGGCTTGTCATGCAACATTTCTAATTCAAATTAACATGTTTTAGTTTTTCAATCTTATTTTTATTTATTATTATTTTAAAAACAGTTATATATATATATATACATAAGTTAAAGAATTAAAGAGGACATATTGATTCAGACATAGAATTGATGCGTCCTCTTTAATTCTTTAACTTATGTATACTTACCGGTAGCTCTGCTACCACAGCATTGAGCACTTTATGCCAAGATAGACTCTATATATATATATAGATATATATATATATATATATATTTTTTTTTTTTTTGGTCAATTTTTTGAAACCATGTTTGTTTGGTCTGTGATGCAACCCATGATCTGATCCCTGATCCTGACCATGATCCAACCTGGTCCAATCCAGCTTTTGTTGAAGCCAGAAACCACAGCACACCATTTTCCTATCTTTTCTTGAGGACATTAAGCTAAGAGTGCATTGACCACTTCAAAAATAACCATTACTGTAAGTGTATTAACCTACCAACTCTGATCTCAAATTCTCTCAGACGATGTACATCATGTAAACCAACTACATACACTTCAGTCACAAACTCATCTTGTCCTAGATCCACTCTCCACCATGGAAATGGGTCGTCTTGCACAAATGAACATGATCCATTCAAAAAGTTCATATTGCTATTTCCATCAACCGCTCTATCACTTGTGCCATTTTCTAATGTCTTTGTGTGCTGATATGTTGGTTTTTGAAATGCCAGATTTTCTAGGAGAAAATGTTCACACACAAAAAAAGAAAAGTTTCCTTGGACAAAGATGATCGCTTTCCACAAACTGATCATCGAATGACAGTTGCATTGAGCTGTATTGAATATGTTTGTTACACTGTACATTATATAGTAAAATTAAAACAAAGGGTATTTTTAAAAAACTGGTTGATGGTAGATATTACATTTTGGGCAGCCTACAGATGTACCAGCCTTTGCCAAAAAGCTGGAAAGCGAAGGACACCAAACTGCAATAAATTTGATATGAGAAAAAAATCATGTACAAGTGTATGTGTAAATTTTGAAATTAAAAATATACCTCCATTGTAATTATGGCATTTTACTCCATTCTTAAGCTACAATATACTACTATATAAATTCTACTGGTCATCCTCAACTGGTAAATTAATAGAGAGACATACTTATATTGCTTTATTGATTGATTGATTGATTGAAGATTTAAAATTGCTGACATACTGGACGATAAATTGTACTATTCTTAGACACGTATTAAGGCAACAGATCAAAGGTAAATTTTAAGACCCCAATATCATGAAAGGAAAAGTGTGCTAATATACATATATTCAAATAGCAAATAAACCTATATTTAAATTACTTATCAAAAGACATTTCTTACAAGCA